CCAAATTTAACTTTATCAGACAGTTGTAAAAAAGACACCCTGTATGCTGTTGGGTGATCGGTATCTATCGAAATGTATGTCAAGTCCGCGTTTCTCCCGCTTACTATGTGCATGTCACATTTGTTATAATTTTTGCGTGGGACTATCTTGGTCGAGGTGGCTTTTCTTTGTTCCTCGTTAGCCTGAGATTCAGCAGACCCCGCTGCACATTTTCTAAAAGCTGCAATTTCGTCTGTAGTTAACGCAAAGCCACGGGGTTGGTCCTCTTAAAAAAAAGCCGCTCCCAAACCGTTTGATAAGGTATCCCATTCCTCATTTGTTTGAACGATTCATTTTGGTTAACGTTAAACAACCGGCACGTATCGATATATTTCCGATGGTCCTTATTGTTGTCCAACGCGTTGAAAATATCGTCGCTTGGGATAGGCATCACGCAGTCGTAGAAAAGTTTTCGTACTGTGTCGTACATGTGAAAATTAAACATCGCAGATACATAGGGATTTGCGTCAGATATTAGGTCAAAACCTGCTCCACATGCTGTTGTAGCGCAATACACCGCAAAATTAAATTGGTTTTGATAAAATGAAATAGGATTGGTAGTCCAACGGTTAACAGCTTCGTCAGTTTTTACTCTCGGAAGTTTATACTCCGCGGTTAAATTTGGAAACACCGCGGAAAAGTAAAAACTTCATTGACCACGATCGATAATTAACTAAAGTTGACCCCCAACTAGTTTTATAAAAGGGGCTCTGAAGGGTAAGCAGACGGTTGTTCCTGGTACTTTACAGACTTGGACAAAGTTATTCGCCAAGTTTTTTCATAAGGGCTTTTTTTTTAAACTTCTGCCCTTTCGTCGGCTAAAGTTTCCGCCTTTTCTTGTACTTGGCGGTCAATTCTTCTTTACTCGTCGATTTGTTTTCTTGCAATTTGGTCGTTGTATTAGACCGGATCTTTTCTTTCAATTCGTTGAATTTCCTAAGTTCGGGCAAAATTAGCACAAATTCTTCTTGAGACACGTCACCGTCTTCGATCGCATGTGATGGTATTATGGTATTTAGCTTGGCGTTTGAAAGCATGCGGATTTTGCTTTTTAGTTTTGTGAGACAACCTACGACTGGTGTATTTCAACAAAACGTTAGCACAAAATGCACCAATGGCAATGCCTTCCATTACTAGCCTGATNGAACAGTGTACATCAAATTCTCTCATAATCATATCAGAATTGATGCCCCCAACTTTTTTTTAGGTATACTTTTGACTTTTGGAAGATAGAGGGCGCTCTTCATATTGTTTGATTGACATGTCATTAAAAGTCAACGAGCAAAGTTTCTGTGAAACCATAAAAGGTCCAAAGAAAATCTTCCTTTTTCATCTCACAGCTCCAAACCTGGTAACACAAGGAATCTTGAAATTGATCCATACTCTGCTCCAAGTCGGGCTCCAAATTTAGATTCCACTATGGTGATAAACTGCTGTTGGGCATCTAGTCCGGTGCCATGTGCCATAACGCTCGTTTTCGTTTGCGCTTGGGCTCCTAACAACAAGTACACAAAAGCTCTAATCGATTCGTTTACTTGTGTGATTCCCACATAAGTCAAGCGTGATTTCTTTGGGATAAAGTCCCACCAACCAAATTTAACTTTATCAGACAGTTGTAAAAAAGACACTTTGTATGCTGTTGAGTGATCGGTATCTATCGACATGTATGTCAAGCCCGCGTTTCTCCCGCTTAATGTGTCCTGGTACTTGACAGAGTTGGGCAAAGTTATTCGCCAAGGTTTTCCATAAGGTCTTTTTAAAAAAGTCTGCCCTTTCGTAGGCTAAAGTTCAGACTTTTCTAGTACTTGGCGGTCAAATTCTTCTTTACTTGTATTAAACCGGATCTTTTCTTTCAATTCCTTGAATTTCCTAAGTTCGGACAAAATTAGTACAAATTCTTCTTGAGACACGTCACCGTCTTCGATCGCGTGTAATGGTATTATGGTATTTAGCTTGGCGTTTGAAAGCATGCGGATTTTACCGTACTTTTTAGTTTTGTGAGACAATCTACGACTGGCGTATTTCAACAACGCGTAAGCACCAAATGCACCAATGACATTGCCTTCCATTACTAGCCTGACGGGTGCTGTAACTACTTTTAGTAGCGCGGGAATGTCAATGGCGGCTTACGTAGCGCCTATTGCTTCGACTCCATATTCCGCGTAATCTAGCGCGGTTAACAGCCTTTGATCTTTTTGTAAGAGGTTTCTCTTGCGTCACGAGTCTACGTCTCGGCAAATTCAACAGCCTACCGACTTCTTTACCTAACTGCAATCTGAGTTTTAAATCCGTTATCATAATTGTCACCACGTTTGAGACTCGGTGAACTTTAAAACTCACATCTGGGATGGTGTTTAAAATAAAATAACAAACCAATCCACTTTGTAAACTCCGGTGGAATAATGACATTCCCGCGCTCTCCACCTTGCAAAGAATTTGCGGGCGTTTCTCTCTTGTGCAACCGATGCATATCTGGGGCATTAGAACCAGAAGTCGTAACTAAAAGAGTGGGTCTGTCATCCTTTATAGTAGCTCTGATGGTTCTCTTTCTTTGTTCATTGTCGTCGCTCAAAAATAAATTCTAAAGCGATGCGGCGGGCTTCGTCATAAAAATCGATTTTTTCTGGAGTTAAAAGTAATATGTAGATTACGACGTCTTCTTTCTCTTTATCTGTTGCTTCGACTGATGTATCTCCTAAATGTAAATGTAGATTCCTTAACGTTCGTCTTTGCTCGCGGAGACCAGTTATGATTTGGTTAACTCCGTCGCTGAATGTTGCCAAATTTCCCGATTCGTAAGCTTGAAGATAATCTCTTAATAAGTCATTAAAAAAAAACGTACTGTCTGCCTCCAATTCAGATAACGGTATTACAAGTTGTAGTTCTTCTACAACGTCCATGTTAATTGATGTTACATTTATTGAGGTAAGCAGTTCACGATTTGATCTAACTCCTTCGAGACTCTTTTCGGCAGACATTCCTTCGACTTGAGTTTGCCATTCGATTTCGGTAGATTTTGTAACGTTGAAATATCCCGGGTTCAAGCATACCTTTCTGACTTTAATGTTTTTATTGCCTTTTAAATTATTGAATTGATTTTGTAATTCAAACGTCTGTGGATTTTTGGTCAGATAAAAAGAATGCGTTTCCATTTATTATAAACCGGTTTTTAAAAGTTTAAACTTATTGACGGCATCGGTAAAGTGTTTCTCCGAGACTTGAAATATGTATTTTTGTCTTCCGGTTCTTCAGTTACGTCTTGAAAACACACCGCCGCCAGCGCCGTGAATGGTTTGCCTCTTGAGATCTTACACGCTAAAACTTGGTTTAATTTGTTTTCTATGAGAATCGCTTGTTCGGTAGTCAGTTGAATGTCTAATTCTTTGAATATCTTGCTCGTTTTTGGCTTAGGCTTTTTATAGACAGTTGTATTTGCCGCCTAAGTTCTCTGCTTCAAAATCGGAATATGAATAAGGCTGTAGTATTCTAAAACAATTGTGACAATATACACACCCGTCTTCTGTTCTTATTATTTGGGCACGTGTCTGTGTTTTCGATTTTCACTTAGGATGATTTAGGGGGTTTTATGCCAAGTCAAGAAAAAACCTCTCTTTCAATTGATGGTAAATAATAACCGTCCATTGTGTTTAATATATAGTGTGATTTTTTAAATTGTGTTGTGAGTGGCGGGGTGAAGG